TAGTTTAAAGGTAGACAATGCATCTGTAATTATGGAAGTTTATGGGCAACTATCGTTTCGTCATTTCCTTATTAATTAAAAAAATTGTCCGACTGAAAGGACCGTTTTTTCACATACACGTGATTATGTACGTAGTTACATAATATGAGAGTTTGTATATAAGTCTGTTTTATTTTATACGTTGACTAATTTTAATTCGATTTCTATCTTTGAATTGTCAAATACAGTTTTATCTTTACATACTAAGTTAATAGACTCGCCTACAAGGAGGTATCATGATTTTTTACTCTAGTATTTTTATTAAGAGAAAAACCGTTAGATAAATAGATTTGATTTGTTAAATACATTTCATAGATTATTTGCAATGTAATCATTGATTGATACAATGGCCGGTGTAGATACGCTGATCACAATTTCGCTACAATCTGCTAATTTGAAACAATTGTTACGTAGAATCTCTATGTTTGATACTTGTGACTGTTAATGTTTATTAAATTAGATGATAATTGTTGTTGTTATTTGATTTAACGAGTAAATATATATAAATTATGTTAATATATACTTATAATGGTTGACAAAAGTCATTGTCAAAAGAGTACTGTAAGATCAAAGAAGATCCTTTTTTTCATAAGGTGGCAAACGAGCGAGCGGCCACTTGAAATCGCTGAAATAGCGAAGTGACCGTTGCCCATAGACATACTCAATTGCATATGCGTTGCCTACCTTGAATCGACAGAGGATGCACAGAAAGAAAATACTTTCCCTTTCCATGCATACTCATCCGGAAAGTCCACTTCCACTCCCATCCTTTCCTTACAAGAAAAATGATGGGAAGGGAAAGAGTACTTAATTAGGCCTCCGGAACGCACACTCATCAGACGAAACGCGGAATTTCTTCCACTTCACGCCTGTCTTCTGTGTGGTCGAGGTATTTCACCGGGCGAGCCGGGTCAAGTCGTGCGAAGATGTTAAAGTGGGCTAGAGCCCGCTTTAACATCTTCGCACGACGGGACGGGACGATGGATTCAACAGTGGCAGACCACTGTTGAATCCATTATTTAACAGTCTTATATTCTCATATTTTCTAACAAAACTATACATGATAAAAACACCACTTAAACCGGGGCAAATAAGTGTGTGCGACTATACCTATTTAAGTTACTATTATTATATCATTAATTGACTAAGAATTATTTTCAAGTTATTTAATTGTTAATAAATAAATTATGCGCCTAAATTAAATTACCGAAACATTTTCCTCATCGTGTTTGTATTAAAATAATAATTTAAAACTGTCCCAACAAATGTATCGCGTTGCTTCGCTCAAGAAAATAATTAATCCCTAAGAGGGACTTTGGGAGCGTCTTAATAACGGTACATAGAGAAAATCGTGAAATAAATTCACCATTTTTTAGCTACATCGGAAAAAAATAAACAATTCCGCAGGGTGTTCAATTTCTTATACTAAAGATGATTTTAATAGCGCGGTTAGTTTTTTTTAACCAACCACTAAGTTTTACTTTGAAATTATGCCGCCGTTAATGTAGCTAAAATATCTACCTTGCTAATATTATAAGTGCGAATGTTTAGATGGATGTATCTCTAGTACGGCTCAATGAATTTTGTTGAAATTTGCCATATATGTAGAACATAGCCTGGAAGAACACATGGGCTACTTATTAAGTTTTCTTAATGTCGCGCAGGAGTCGCAGGCTACAGCTAGTCCAATAATATAATTTCATCTCAGTTTTTTTTGGAGGAAATGTTGATAATATTGTTATTGATAATTGTTTCGGCAGTGAAATACAACGGTAAGAGCTTTTCGAACTTCAAACGATTTAAAAGCTTAGATTTGAAGATTAGCGTTTCATTAATTAACATTTCGTCGGACTTTGATCGCGGTTCTTAAAGTCTTTAGAATTGGATTTAAAGTAAAATGCTTATTCGACACGATTTAATTTTCGATCTATTTTTCATTTGAATTTACAACCCTTTGCGATACGTAGAAGTACTACGCCGTAGCGCGTCTACGGATTTACTAAAAAGTTGATATTGTTGTGTAGCTACAAATCCAATAGATACGTAGCATAACTATTGATAGTACACAAATATACTGAAAATAGGTAAAAGTGTGTAATTTCATTTTTTAAACTTTTAGTCCAATTTTTATAAACATAATCAACTTTCCTTCATATAATTTCAATAGTCTTTATTATATTAAATGCGTTTTATTTTTAATACAAAAGCTCAATTGATTAAAAAGGATTTAATCATTTAATATTTTATTTATACTTTTCATGAATTTCCTTTTATTTAAGAAAAGAATGTTTACTTGCAGATGAACCAAGAATTTATTGCATACCAAATTACAATTAGTAGTTTGCATTCATCATCTATGTCTATTCTTGCTAATTTAGATAGGTAATTACCTTATAGTATTAACATGTTATTGTACTAAACGTCAAAGGAGAACAAACAATGCGATTTGGTTTTCAATTACGATACGAGTCGGATCGACCTACGAACTATAGACTGAAAAATTTAACTGACCCGGTGGTTATAAATTAAGTCAAAGTACGATCGCTCGTTAGCACTTCCCTGTCAATGCAAAAATCTGTAACAAAATCCTTGTCAGACTGTACACGTCATGTCTTGTGTCATTTTCTAGGCTTTAGTAGGCTTTCGTTTTCCGATAGAACTAACCGTGATAGCAGTACCTCTCTCACCGGGCCAGAAAAGTTTTTCGCACTAAACACGCTATCGCTGTAGTGACGCTGCCACGATTATGACATTGAATCATGCAAATTCCGCACGGGAAAACTAAGGCTTGGTATACACTTGCGTTTCTTACCGCGTGCCGAAAGACCGCAAGTTTAGAAATCAAAATTTCAAAATTCAGTCAAAGTAGATCTGCGACAAATATATCTTAAATCTTAAAAGTATAAATACAAATTATAATAATTATGGAAATCTATATAAATTCCATGTGATCTACTATAGTTTAAAGAGATAGGTTCGAATACTACGATACGACGCAGTACAGTCAAGTGAATGAATATTTATACCTTTATTACACTTTACATACTTCTATAGGCTGTCGGGTTTAAAAACACTTACAAATGTGTTCGTGAACCTACTTGTCAGAAGCGTTAGGACCGATTCGTGCATACATATTTTAAAACCAAAAGAGTACACAAGTTGCTGAAGGTATGTAAACGTCTACATATTTACGCAGCTGACTGTACAAGCTTGTGTACACATGGCTTTATCATTGAATCATGCAAATCCGCTCGCCAAAGCTAATTGTAGAGTTGTACGCGAGGCACGTTTTAGTTGGAGGCGATACGAGTCAGTTGTGAACTGACTTTGTTGCCGTGACACTTATGAGTGACGGCGGTCGTAATGGACGACGCGACGTGTCGCTTATTAAGTTTGTTATATGTATAAAGTTAGAGATGAATCAATGTTTTGATAAAAGTTATGTCTCTCCAGTACAGTCCACCGCTGGAATGTGCAATCATGCCAGTGATATCTTATGCCTTATGAATGTAAAGATAACCAGCGAGGAAGCAGAAATTTAGACTGTTTCAATTTTATATTGTTACATCTGTTCAGGGATTATTTTCGATTGTATAGAAGTTTTCAGATATCTTTGTGGCTCTTAACTTCGAGTACCTGGACAGAACACAATTTTAGTCTAGGGACGGTACAACGCTGGTATAGCTAAGACATTTGAAAAGAACTATACTAGAATAGTGGGTATAGATCCAAGAGCATCTATGTATTTATTTATTTTCTAAGCTTCTACAAGATTGAAAACTTATTATTTTGCGAAATGATAAATACGATTAACATTACAATTAAAAGCGATAAAGGTTCGGTGAAACTCATTGATGTTGAAATCTGCATAATTTAAATAGCACGACCAATTAAATAGCTGCGCGTATCTCGCGCCGCTACGGCATTAACATATTAACGACAGATTAGTGCTCACATCACGCCCCCCATGAGCGGTATAAACCCCCTAAAACTAAATATCGATCCTTAACTGTATTTATGTCTGATTATACTGAAAACACATTAATATATTTATATATCTACATCTCCATATCAATCTTTTGTGGTTAAAAATGTGCGCATTTTTTTCTTTATAAGGTAGAAAAACATTACATGCGTTAACCTCTTGAATTAACTCGAATTTTTCTTCTTTGTGTAGTAACTGAACCTTTTTAATCACTAATATATGGAATTATTATTGTTACAACAAATGAAATATTTTTTTAACAATATAAGAAAAATTATTTAAGCGATGAAGTATTCAATTTCCAAGTAAATATGTAAAGTAAATAGGTTGATTGCGTAATTTAAATTTAAACATTTTAATGCTTACGCACGGATAGTGTTGCGGTGCGTAGTCCACGTGGATTCTAATTAGCAAACATGAATTTATGAACGTTTCGTGACAAACTACAGATTCGCACAGCTAAATTGCGATCAGCCATAACATATGCAACCAGCCGTCTAACATGGATAAAGTGTTTTGATAAAGTTGCATTTATTTGATACATAATATTATCACACATATCTGAGAAGAGGTTCAAAGATATGTGTGAAGTAAATCTGCACTGGGCTAGCATTGATGACTATAGCCTAATCACCCCTACCTTAGGGTTGTCTCCGGAACCCTCAGTGGAGACGTATAGTGAGCTGATGATGATGATTATCGGTCTCAATATAAAACTTACTGTCGTACTCAGAGTTCAATTAGCATTGAAGAGGCTACCTCTTAACGTAGATTCAGTGTGGGAACAGAACATAAGTCAGGTGTTGCGTTCAAGAGTAAATAACTAGGTAAAACTCGTCCTACCTTTCGATTCGATACCATGATCAGTTTTAAACATGGTTAATCTTAGAAGACATATAATTTGACATTCTGATAAATGATAATGATACATTCATTATCATTTATCAGAATGTGTGTGAATTAATCATTAACTTACTTGAAATAGACCGTAGCTGGTGTAGGCGTTGTTGTGGTTGGTCACCTTGTCGGTGGTGCGGCCGCTCGCGTGCTCAATCAGGCACACCCCTAGACAGAAAACACGACATTGGTTAGTAAAATCGATATTATAATTATTTAAGCTCTGTTTAATTCTGAAACTAAATAATTACTTTATGTGGCCACCAAGAAGGAATGACAAATACAAGATGCAAAAAAAAATGTCCCGCCAAATCAAACTTTTATAGGTTATCTGACTGCTGTTTATTAAGAGAGTTAGCAAAGCTTTTTAAATAATTAAAAAGCGCCACTCACAGTCCGCGACTTAAAAGCCAGTGCCTCTTAAGCACAATTCATTTATCAAACACTTTTAAAAAATGCCAGCGATGAATACGATTTTCATTTCGAATAAATACTCCAAATGAAACTTCTGACAGCTTTAAGTCCGCACAAACAAGGAGGTCGTTTACTTTTTTGTTTTAAAAATAAAAAATAAAAGCCAGCCAGTTGTTTAAGTAAATTAAATTCGTCGACTTCCAAAATTCTTAATTCAAATAATAACATTAAGTCGGCCGCGCAAACCAAATGAATTGCTCTCAGCGACCTCTATAAGCATTCACAAACTCCGAACGCCGGGGACAGATCTTGTATTTGCATAAAAAGGGGACATCATTCAGATGACAAAACATTTCGAGATCCCCTTTCATTTAAGTTTAAAATTGTTAACTGGCACCGCCTTAATTGACACAGTACAGGCCCGCATTGCCTTCCCCCCACTCACTCTAATCTGAATTAATTCAAATTAATACAAGCCTTGAATCAAAAACGGACATTTGCTGTCTGATTCTTAATCTTGTAGAAATCACAAAACCTTATAAATAAACCGTAGATTTTCGTTTTGGATTGAAATATAAAAATCCGATATTTTTTTTATCCAAAGCTTCCCCAAATTGTTTGACTAAACATTATAAAATAATTTATGCAGTTAGGGATCGTTTACAAGCAAGTTTCGGTCGATATTGTTGTTTCGTGTTATAATTGTGTTACGAAATTTCCAATTTTCACTTCCTGATTCAAACTATTCAATATATTATATAGTTGGTATGTATCAGACGGTAGAGGGCGACAGATTGACGCCGCATAATGAGATGTGGCCTTCCCGGTTGTTGAACACAGCGAAGACGTCAATATATCTATGTATACATATATTATGTACATATATTCCTTGCTATATATCTTGAATAGATCTGATGTATTTGCCAACTAATAGATATACATAACAACTTAGATATATGTATACATATTTATATGAAAGTGGCAGTATAAAATGATTATCATTTATCTTACTAATCTTAGACCAAAATTCGCATTTAAGACATATTGAAGTCTCTGTTTTGTCAAAGATGACAGGGATTATATACAAAGATTTTGGTCTCAGAAACCAATGGTAAGAACACTTTTTATACTTTTTAATTCTGTTTCTTTGTTTTGGATAACCTCAAAAACTATTTTTATTTTTCTTTCCCTAAAAGAATTTGTTTATCAGTGAAAACTTGGGCTACAGTCTGTTTCTAATTTAGACATCTTTCTATGCTATTTTATTTCATATAGATTTTTCTCGCATGTTAAATAAAGATAACGAGCAATTATTTCCCTTACAATGTAAAATGTTCATTCACATAGCCCCAGTAATTAATAAAGCGCGTTTAAACATGTGCGCGCAAACCTGTGCTGCGCTGCGCATCAAATATTAGTGTGGACTAATTTACGAGCCTTTATAACTATAACAAAGCGTATAAATATAATTTTAATGTACAGTCGCGCTATTTGGCGGTGTTCCATTTTAAAAACGACAATCGTTTGAATACTTTGAAACGTTTATCGTCAGTAAATGTATTGAAATAAGGGTATTCTAATCCTACTATAACTAATATTACTCAGACATATGGAGAAGGGAACTGGTTAGGTGTTGTAAGTTGATGACCTCTGCTCCCGTCAGTAGCTCTGATAGTATTGACTTGATAGTAGACAACAGTGTGGTCACCATAATATTGTGTTTGTTGCTCTACAGTATCTCACATTTATTTTTCTATTTCCATATATAACACCCATAAATACACTATGCCATTTATTCCAAACCCGCGAATACCCGAAAAGACAAGACAAATTGAGTTATCCATAACATAGTTACTTTATAAGACAATTTCGCCAGATTATTAAAAAAAACTACATTAATTATTTTCATTATTCATGAACCAGCTGGAGCCAATTATAATTCTATCGTAACTATACTTTTATAACTGGTATACCGTAAACGAAGGCGACTGTACGTAACGTTAGAAACACAGGCTTCACCTGATTAACTGCAGCAGTAGCTAATGCAAGTGTTATACGATGTCGAGTTTGCGTTGCCTCAATGCCTTTGGGAGAAAGTCTTAGTTAGCGTTAAACGTAGCTCGGATAAATGTACTAAAGCAAAATGATATAGCAGTGCAGATAATGATGCTAAAGAACTACATAACCATAGGTTTTCACTGTCTAAACAATTATACAAAGTTATATTTTCTTTGCTGTCGTCCTTGAGTAAAACAGAGTTAAGATTTATACAGAGACTCCAGCAGTGAAAACTCTTGGTATTCGTATAAGAAAATAAATACTTACAGTTAGGTATTAAGCTTCTTGGAAAATTGTATCGTAAAAGCTCTCTTGAAAGCTGGCATCGTGTGAAAGTTCTCGCGTGACCTTTTGATCCCTGGATGAGGGCTAATACTGCAAGCAGTAATAGCAATTTTGATTGTTTTTCCATTGTCCTTTTGATTTTAGAGTCTGTGAACAAATAAAATAATTAGTTGCTAGACCAAGCCAAGGCCCACAAAGGACTGTAGAGCTTGAAGAAGAAAAACAACAAATAATTATTATTATAATACTAAAATGAATTATTTGAATCCATTTATATCGCATATATCGATTCATTGCCCTATATTTGTTATCGTCGTTGCGTATCTGTGTTCACACGTATATCTTAGGTTTTGCATAATGATTTTAAGACATAACACCTAGGCGGCTTTAACCCTAAGGTTAGTTTCTAGGTCATCATTCAAAATCTAACGTACGTAGCTTGCATTGAGAGTTAAAATCGTATCGTTTCTCTGTAATTGGCATTTTCAATGTACCATAATAAGCAGATACATAAAGGTATTTTAAATGATCCATTGTGATAAAATATCTTGAAAATACGAAAGTAAAATAATACAAATTACCCACTTAAATAAATTTATTACGAGACGAGTGCTCGAAAAATAAATGACGTTATTTAATTGAGAAAAATCACACAGAACCGTGAAGCGAATGTAAATCGTCGCCTTATTATTTGCGAACCGGAATTACCTTCACTTCCTTCAGAAATAATTTCCAAGTCGTTTGAAATTCTATATTGTTGTCTACAGAGACTTTTACAGAGTTACGTCGGAATGAGCATCTCCTATTTTCGTATTTGCATCCATAATTGCGCGTTTATTGTTCTTAAAGTACTATGTCCATGATTTGTTGGATTAAAATCAGAACTATTTTAAATCAAGTCACTTGGTATCACCAAACAACAAAGTGCGGTCTCTTTGTCTATAAACATCTGCAATAAATTGGTAGATTGCAGGTGCACTGTCTAACTTTAATCTACAGTGGAGAGAATATGCAAAAAAGTGTTTCCACCTTCATCTATATCCCCTCTCCTGTCAAATTCGCTTCCTAAATTTAGACAGGTGTAGAAAGATGACAAAGATTTGTCCCTCGACATGCACATTTATGATTTAAAAAATCTAAAATTGGTTGTTGTGACAAAATTCCTTTGAACTAATAAATAAATACAAAATCATTGTCACCTTACTGCTAACCGCTGGCGCTGCCAGTAAGCGGCGACGTTTAATTTCAGTTAAGATATTTTTCACGAGGATAAAATTAGTAAAGTTTTACTTAATTGTGATTTCTGTATTTGAATAACAAATGGCGAATGCGAAATATAAAACACTAGCTTTTGCCGGCGACTTCGTCCGCGCAAATTAAAAAAAAAGTATTCTATACAAATTAGTTTATATAATGTTTAATTTAGAAATTTCATCCTGATCCGATTAGCCTTGAAGTTACGTAACAAATATCTGTCCATCTATCCAAACATTCGCATATATAATTAGTAAGAATTTTGTTGGTTTTGATTTTTTAATTTAGCCAATACAGTGACAAATGGCTTAATTCTAATAAGGTATTTTTTTATGCTTTTGGTTAAAGTGACCAAAATTATATTTCATAAGTTTGAATCTACCTTTAGATTAAAAACCAACTTCTAGTTTTTGTATTGCTTAGGATTTTTATTTCAAATCAAAACAAAATAATACATACCAATGTACATCAAAACGCTTTTGTGTTAAAATACTTATATAAAAGAATGATGTTTCATCCATTCCTAACAATTTGTCTATCTGGATGATGTATAGTACAAACATTTCTTATAGTCGTTTCATAGATTGATTGCTTGTTTGTGTAGTCTTGACAGACAGATTTGAGCGGATTGATTTGTTCATTGAGGGGTCTGACAATTTTTTTCAAGAAATTGAAAGTATTTTTGTTATAATTCCTGGTATGTTAACTAGCTGTCGCCCACGACTCCATCTGCGCGGCATAAAAAAACTTAATTGGTAGCCTATGTGTCCTTCCAGACTATGTTAGAAAAAACTTCGACTACTATAAGATGTATACATCTGTGCTAAATTCCATCGAGATCCATAGAGCCGTTCTGGAGACAACTTCAAAGAAACATCCAACCATCCATACATCCGAATATTCACATCTCTATTATCTATATTTGTAAAAGAAAGTCGTGTTAGTTATACTACTTATAACTCAAGAATAGCTTTACCGATATGGTTGAAAATTAGTGAGGAGGTAGCTTAGAGCCAGGAGACGGACATAGGATACTATTTATTCTTTTTTTCTGCTTTTTATTTAACTTATCTATATATTAATTTTTTTATACATTCACGCGGACGGAGTCGCGGGCGACAGCTAGTTTATAATATTAATAAGACTTATTTATGTGTACCTGTCCAAAATAGTCAGGTGAGCAAAAAACATATAACATCAAACTTAATAAGAGATAACGATGGATTTATTTTGTACATGCAATACGAAATGCTTTTTACGAACACTGTTTAAGCATTTCTCGTTATTCGGGAGTGCAAAAGTTGTCCGTCGACGTTTCTAACGCCGGAGGGTAGTTTGTGAACAAGCGACGGCCATGTTTGTTTTGGAAATTAAAGCCAACACATTTTGTTTGACACAAATGTCAAGATAACCACGTCAGTACACTGATCATTTGAGGGAGTAATAAACTGTTATACTATAGTAATCTATATTGGAACTAAACTGAATGTAATGTGCTTGTTTTAATTTAGTTTTACCCACTACAATTGCACCATAGTTTAAGACCTCAATTTAGTGATGTGGCAGCTTGAATTATTCCTATAGCACGGAGTCTATCGTCTTTTGCATTTGTCCCATCTATGTTAACAAAAACACATGTAAAAAGCCATTTATGATCGACATCAAAATGCAATTTTTAGAAGAAAATCCTCACAACGTACAATTCATATCTCGTTCACGTCGCAAATTCACAAAAGCTACGCTGAAGCCGCTTTAAAAAACTTCACGCTGGAATCGTTCGCACAAAGGATAACGTAGGCTCGGAGATTCGATCCGAAATTGGCACTAACGAAGACCACAAGTTTGCGTGTATTTTTTGTTAAAAATAAACGTTGTGTTTTAAAAAGATTTCTGAAATTGTAACGTGTGATTTTATGATTAGAATTGATGGAAGTTAAACGTCCAATCTTAATTACTCCAATTGCGTATTCCGATATAATCGTCAATCGCGCGCAATTAAAAAACAACTTTTTTAAGTTGTATACGTATTTCAGTGTTCTACATCTATTATTTATCATATAAACTCACATTAATAATATGAATAGCTATAGCCCGCGACTCCGTCCGCACGGTATTAAACAAAAAACTTGATTAACCTATGTGTTCTTCCAGACTATGTTCTACATATATGCCAAATTTATTTAATTTCAGCAAGATCTATGCAGCCGTTCTGAGAATACCTTCAAACATCCATCCATCTAAACATTCGTATTTATAATATTAGTAAGAAGTAAGATTTAAAACAACATAATCTTTATTATATATATTTATGTTTATTATTGTATTAAAGATTAATATTCAAAAGTGAGCTATCTCGGGGATTGTATGAACTTTATATTAGGCTTGCCGACTGAATTTGTATTGAAAACATCTGATTTATGTTGTGAAGTTTTCTTTGGGCTCGAGTTTCAATAGCGGAGTTGGCTTGGCCGCACACAATTTTGTTTACCTTCGCCGCGGAGAATGCGAAAACTTTATATTAACTGTTTATTGAAAATACTAAAGGGAATCATCAGTCAAATATAACTTTATTTTTAAAATAATACCAACAATATTATTCCAATATACTGTATTGAAATAATATTATTTGAAATTGTAATTTATTTTTTGGATGATTAATACTATATAGTAAAAAGTGGTTTGTCTATCGAGTTGGCGTTTGAAGGACAAACGTAATTTACATTGGAATAAAAATAATGTAACTAGTTGTGTTTTGTTTTCGCAGATAATTTACTCCGTTTTTAGGGTTCCATACCTCATAGGAAAAAAACAGAACCCTTATAGGATCACTTTGTTGTCCTACCGTCTGTCTGTCAAGACCCTTTTTCTCAAAAACGCGTGAAGGTATCAAACTGGAATTTATTTTTTTGTAAAAAAACGTCTTTACAAAGATACACTGATTCTGGGGGAAACAAGGTTATTTGGGGTTTTACCCTCTAATTCCTCACTCGATGGACAATCTCTAACACTGACGGGGCTCCGGGATCTCCGGTGCAATGCACTATGATAATTTACTCATTTAACACAACTTCTATACCACGTTTAAATAAGCTATGTTACCATTTTATTTAAATCCAACTTTAAAACGTAATTATGTTATTTCCCAAGGAAATTGATGTAGATATATACGGAAAGTCGCGGCGTGGAGTTAACTAGCAAAACAATTGACTCTCGCACACACAACAAGAACGTTTTCCAACAAACTCCGTGTCACGTATCATGCAATATGCATGCAAAACATTTACATATGAAAACAAGTCGAAAACAAAGCAATACAACAAAATGTCCGCTCGATTTATCTGGCGGAATATGTTCGCGTTGAAAGCTCACAAAAGCTTAATCGAACGCAGTTTAATAAACTTGACGTTTTTCACAAATAGGTATAGGCGTTAACAATGTTTTGACGTAAATATAAGCTTTTTCATAGCGACATTTTAAAGCAGTGGCCACTAAACTGGACTTTAGACTAGGTAGTGCCTACATAATTTAAATTTAAATTTCTCCTAAACTATTAAAATTATTTATTGAAGTAAAAAAATTTGCAAATTTCGTCAGCTTTCCTTCAAGATATATATTATTTAATATTTTACTAGAAAAAAAGATAGTCTGCAAATAAGTTAGGTAACTTGATCAGTTTAAATTTTATAAAATTCTTGTATTAATTTCTAGCCTAATGTTTTGCCTAAGAATTGGCAAAAAAAAAAACTTTTTCTTTGTTTAATTTTAGAAAAATTTTAACTTGCAAAGATTTTTACTTTTCGTTAACTTCCACAAGTGGGCATCGATTTTACGGATTGAAAAATTGCTTATATTGCTTTTGTGAATGTTCACATTGAAAACTCTTGCTTCGTTAGATGAATTGAGAGATAAATTTGTTCGTCTAATTTTATGTTTTCAAAGAAATAACTAACCACGTTAAAAAATATTCGATATGCTGTATTTTATTTAAGGTAAAGATCAATGAGTACAAAATATTATAACTTTTTTATGTTACGTACTTTGATGTCAACCGAAAATTAAAAAACAAATTCTGAAAAATGTTCAAAGTAAAAATGGCTTTTTTTTCGTTGAATAATATTAATAAAAATATTTTTATAATAAGCAGACATATTTTTGTTTTCGAAATTGATTTTTTGACTTATCTGTATGGTTTTTAAACGTACAAGGGAAAAAATGTGTGAAACTCTTAGCACAGTTATGTGAAGGCTTCAGTATAAAGGCCTTAGCTTCGCTTCCTTTTGACTGAATGTTTTACACAATTGTGAGAGAAACAGAAAAGTGGGTCAGTCTAAATTAGAGAGTGGTGTCAACGCGTACAAGGGAAATGAATTTCGTTTATTTTACACGGTTTTTATTGCGCGAATTCTACTGTCATAAGAGTTTATTACAATAAAGCAAATGCTTGGAAACTTATTTATGCATTTTATATTATGAAGTCCAGTTATCGTCTTTTGATTTTAGCGTTGATATGACGTAATGGTTACGGACAAAGAAATATTGTAAAAAATTCAAAATATTTTTTTAAGCAGTAAATTCTGCTGTTTAATTTTTATAAGATGTTTTTTTAACAGACTAAAGAACCTTATAAATTATGCCGATAAAATAAAAATAAATGTATCAGTCACCTGTGACTCGATCGTGCGTGGCTGCGCGTTGCAACTGCATAGAGCTTCTCTCTTCGCATCCACTTTATCAATTTATATCGTTACACGCAATACATGCGTAAACGCACTTAAGGCTAAACAACTCTTTACTATTTTTCCAAAGAATTTTTATGATGTAGGTAGAAACGTATTAGCGACTTCACGGATTTTTAAGTTTTACATCTCCTAAATGGAAACATATTTTTGAATATTTTTTTTTAACTTTTTATTCGAACTTCTAGCAGACGTTTTTCATCTGTGTAACCTACATAAAACACTTCTTTTATCTTCTTTTAGGTTGCGGCTAAAAAAATCAATGCCTGCAAGCTTTTAACTTTGCTATTTCACAATTATGTTTCGATTGCCTTACAACGCTCGGCCGCTATCTCTCCTGTCCCCTATTGTTATGTAAATAACTATGCGGGTACAAAAACCGCTTACGGTAAAGCTTTTTAATACAATAAAGTTATTTTTAAGTAATATTACGATCGAAATATTAATATTGTTTTTAGTTTAATGACTTAAAACTTACACTTAAACAACTTACAAGTTTAGAAAACTATAAATAAAATTGTTCAATTAAATAAAAACTACTGAATCTATGGTATTTATGACACATTTAGAAAATTTATATCTTTTGTATAGTAATAAGAGGGGGTTATATTTTGTTCAATATTAGGATGATATTTCTTTAAAAAACTTTTTATTTATTTAACGGAAGTAATCTAACGCAATGATATATTTCACTGAACAAAGATATCGCCATTTTTGTAACCTAAATAATTTATAATGTATAAAAAATTGCGCGAAATACGCTATTAAGCATTATTTGCACATAAAGCTGTGTATTCCACGCTCCCTGTGTCAAAACCACAGACACTCGGTGATATATTGTCGGGGCTTTGGAACTAGTAATACATGATCTTCCTTTCCCTTTTTCTTTAAACGAAAAAATATTTAGGACGGTGGCGAATGAAGTGTGAACGTGGTCCAAGTTATACTGGTCAGTTTTACGAAAGCGGGGCCTTAAGAGGCGGTCTATTACAAATATTTTATTAGTTCTTACAGGGGATCCTTTGTTGGCACAGATTGCCCTTTTACGCTTAAGGGGCTTAACAACATTAAGGTGACAATGGGGAGGCTTAGTTTTGTAAACAATTTCAACAATTCATCGTGACCGTTTTATTTTTGTAAGGGTTTGTAGAGACTTACACAACCTTATTTCGAAATGTTACGGTAATATTTTTAACGAAATGTCGTTTTATAATATTTAAAACTAGGTGGTGGTAGGCCATTCGATTCGTGTTTTTTCCCTGGAGTGTCAGGGGTACAGTCAGCTGCATACATTTGTATAAATTTACAAAGCTACAAAAAGTACACGTCTTCGGTTTCAATAATATGTATAGACGCATCCGTTCGTATGTTTCAGACCATAATTGCATGTCATTGACGTATTCGTGCATAATTATTTTAGAAAAGTTTCTAAAATTTTGTTAGTGTTTACCTATTTATGCAGCTGACTGTACAGTCTGACTTGTTTGAATTAAAATTAATTTATATTTAATTATTTGTTTGATTGTCTCTAGTCTAATAGTTTTTTGTAAATTTAAAAAGAGTAATAAAAATATTGCAATATTGAATTACCATTGACAAAAAATCTCGTAAGTTAAAAGCAAGCAAGCAAAAACATTTTACAAATAGCAAAGTATGGCTTTTTCCATCGAAGCTACAGAATCTTTCTCACGGTCCAGAAGGTATGTCAAGATATTATAGTCGTATGTATTAGAATGAATGAAATAGAAGATTAGATTGAATGCCATTTTTAACTAAGGGTTCTTAGCGGTAGGCCAACGACCGTCCGTCACCCACTGTTATCAATAGTCGTGTAATTCGTTCTTATTCTCAGCGTATTGAACGTATGGTACAAGTGAAAGAAGGAAAGCGGTTGAGTAATATGATTTTATTTAATATAACGCTATCATAGATTTTCGTTCAGTGCTGTATTCCTTTTTTTAGGAATGAGATATTTGATTCGACGATTTGTTTGTTTTGTTGAAATATTATTAAACGGCGAAATTATATTTATTATCGATTTATAGAATTAGATTTACTAATGCTGATATTCTTGTATAATCGAATTCGAGGACATAGAAAATTAAACAGACATTTGTAGCAATTTATACACATACAAAGTCAGTAAAATGTATATACATATATAATTTCTCATCTCCATTAAATTCATCATTTTAATTATATAAATGCATTTATTTATTAAATATATTCAATAGCAGTAAAGAATATCATTAACCTAATTATAAATTAAAATATAATCTTACTAAATATCTAACCACTGCAAAATAAATGAATTAATTAATACTATATTAAATAAACTAAATACTAAATACTAAAACTAAACCAAACTAAATGATATATAAAAATCGACCCCGCTATATAATACCGAATAATATAATCAATCGAATCGCTGCGGTCGCACGGTAGGGTTCCCAAGAGGCTGGCGGCATTTCCCCGTTGTTGTAAATTGTTATCACTAATATATTTCAAGAATGAGCGATACATTTTGTTTCGAGAGTGACAACTCGTAAAAATACATTCTCACCGAACGCTTATAACTTGCGCATCAGTAAAACTCCGTCGTCCGGTCGTCACTCAGTGGAAATGCCCCATTACGTCTCAGCCACACGCATTACAGTAACAATTCTTTTACAAGTACCAAAGGATATGAACGGAATTACCTTTTGAGATGGTTTCTATTTCATTTCCCGTTGTTATTTCTCTTTGATTTATAAGAAAATATGTTTCGATGAATTTAGGCATGAATTTTTGAAACTCGTGTTTGTAATGTTACTACACAATAAATTTACTTAGCCAATTCCTTTTAAATGTACACTAAACATTGTCTAAAGTATTTTTGGGAATGACTGAGTGCACGATGATAATTAAAGCATATACAAAAATCTTAGTTCTTAGCAGATCTATTATTTAAAAATACATTGGCTATACTTATGTATTCAACTACAACACTCAGAAACGTTAACTTGTAAATAAAGCAGTACCTTAGTGTAGATAAAGTGTGAGAAAGCTACAATAAAGTACTGCCAGTACTACTACTGTAAGTAACCAATAGACAACTACTTATTTGCAGATTCATCATAATATAATTTTTCTCTGTGTTTTATATGACCTGTAATTAATGTATTGCCAATAATTGTATTGTCTTCTATTATATTTAATTAAAATGGGTAAGTTCAATAAGTTCTTTTTCTTTATCAGAATGTGGGGGGTATGCGTGGTGGCGGCGCTGTGCTTGTGGTGCGCGGGCGCGGAGTGGCGTTGCCCGGAGCTAAGCGCGAGGCCCGCCGCCGAGTGCGCCTGTGACTTGCCACACACGCTGCGCTGTGCCGGAGATCATACTGCGTTACAGGTATACTATTAATCATACATAATGTTTGTTAGCGGCCAGCAATTAGAATAAGAATTAGATGTAGATGTGTAGCTCAATATCAGCCGTCAAAAACGATTGAAACAACCAATAATTAACAATTGAGGTAAATCGCAACTAATTATCTGTAATAAATGATTACTATCACGATGATCGTTGTAGTTGGGGTACATTCTAAATGTATCTATAGGGGTACTGCATCTAGAGCTAGTCATTGATATAAATCAATGGTTCCCAAAATTATTTTGTCTACTGCCCACTTTGAGAATAAATATTTTTTTAACGCCCTCATATTTTCACATATTTAAAAACCACTATAACTTTAAATTAAATTAATTATTGTGACCTATATGTATATTAACGGAGAATTCTAAGCGAAACTTTTACTATAACCGCCAACTTGAGACCTGCAGCGCCCACAAGAGGGCGTTATCGCCCACTTTGGGAAAGACTGATATAAATACTAACTACCCTCTACAAGTATTATAAGATTCAAACTTAATAGCGGCTCGTTATTTACTCCAAAGCATATCTGGGCAATGCGGATGGAGAAAAGAACGCAGTGTTGTGTATCACTTCGCATTCTTTATCCGAAAAATTGTAAATAGCATCTCGTGCAAATTTACTAGCTAGCAAATACATTGGATGGATTTGTATGACTAAATAGGATAAGGGAGAAAGAGGTAGAGATAGGAAGGACATTATTGTATATACTTAAGCTTGTATAGTGAGGATGATTGTATTGGCCAAGGAGATTTTCTTATATGTTATAAATAAACTATAAGAGTGTTTACGTAGCTCGTAGCGAATAGGAAGAGTAAAAGGGAAACAATAGCAATCTCCAATAACAGCGGCCGAGCGGAAAGCAAACAACATTCACTCGACGTGAACGTGGAACGATAGATAAATTACGTTTATTCTTAGATTAGGAGGAACGCTGAATGTTCTTGGTACTTGCTACTTGATTCTTAATTCCGTTACTGTTTCTAACAAAATCATTTTGTAATATGTTCAAAATGTAGTGATTATTTCTCTTTACATATTGCATATGATATATAAACACGGCCAAACACTCACGAATATACGTCCGGTGGCGGCACCGACTAGTGCCAGTGAGCGACGGGCCGCGTCCGCGAAATAATACCAGTGCCACTCATCCTGATGAAGGGCCCCCGATGGGCTCGAAACTAGTCGGTGCTATACGGTGGTATATTCGTGAGTGTTTAGCCGTGTTTATATATCAGTTTAGTATAATGTCTCACGAAAGTTTGAATAATTTAATATTGCATATGATTTGGAATTGATTAAATCTTGAATATTGTTATTTTCTTTGCAATTCAATAATAGATCATTGTTATTTCTATCAATATTAATAAAAATTAGCATAAGTAAACTTGATAGACAATAATTAAATTCATTTGAAGACAGTCAAAATATTTAGTATACGCTATGGCTGATATGCACAGACTGCTTCAAACCGTTAGCGTTGAGCGATTACTTGATGGCCATACACGGACCGTTTTGTTGTCGCCGCTAAAGATGTAGTCAGTGTGTTGACTGTTTGAAACAATCTTTGTATTAATTGCTATGTTACTTAGGTAGCTAATAAAAAATGCAGAAATATGTTTATAATTTGAAGTCAAAATGTATAATTATATGGTGTAGATTATTTTTTTTTTATATGATAAGGTGGCATACGAGCGACTGGTCACCCGAAATCGCTGAAATAGCGAAGTGACCGCTGCCCATTGACATACGCAATCGCATATGCGTTGCCTACCTTTAATCGACGGAGGAGAGGATGCACAGAAAGAAAATATTTTCCCTTTCCTTGCATCCTCTCATCCGGAAAGTCCACTTCCACTTCCCATCCTTTCCTTATAAAGAAAAGGATGGGAAGGGAAAGAGGACTAAATTAGGCCTCCGGGACGCACACTCATCAGACGAAACGCGGAATTGCTTCCACTTCACGCCTGTCTCCTGTGTGGTCGTGGTATTTCCTATTGAGTTATTTGCTATTGTTTAGTAGCCGGGCCGATTCGTGCGAAGATGTTAAAGCGGGCTCTACCAATGTCAAACTAATTATCAAATTATAAGAGAATTTAAAAAAGTTAATTTAACTTTTGACCAAAAAATTTTGGATTTTTTTTTATTTTTTCCCAAGGTGTTATCGACCTGGCTATACACAGGTACCGGCTTATTGTTTTGGACACGCTGTATAAATAAGCCTTAAGACAGCGAGAATAGAGAATTACTTGACGAATTTCCGTTAATTTGATTTGCTCTTAAGTCACTTGTTGGGTGGATAGGCTTTTATCGTTACGCACCCTCTTTATTTATTAACATCGGATATTGTTATAGAAATTTAATGAAGCTATAATGGGAAATAATTTTAATATATAATTCAAAGAGGATTTATTGAATATTGTACATCGAATTTTTGATTTAATCCAATTCGTCGCTTTGAATGACAACGCTTTGATATGGTTCCCACTGTAAAACTTAGTTGTCTCTTTCATCTTCTTTGTAAAAATTGTGATAGCAATAACTTGGCGGTTGAGTCTCACTGTTTCTTTGTTCAGTCTGAGATGGAATGAATCATGGCTATCTTGTTAAAAATTATACTTAACTAGAACTTAACGTGTCTTAATTTTTAAACAATAGTTTGTAATATTATTTCGTTTTTTTTTAAATTAACCGTGTAGAGTTTGATTGAGTGTGTTAGAACAGAAGCTCTCTAACGTGTAAGAGGCGGGTTGATTGCGCTTGGCCACTTCACGTCGGCAGTCGGCAGTCGGTACCCTACTCAAAGTGAGGCTCGCACAGGTGGCAACTAATTGTTTGTTTGGACATTCACTGCATTACTACTGACATTTCAGTGTACAACTGTCGTATGTAATACGAAATTAGGATTGAAATATCCAAGGGTTTTCAAGATTCTTGATTTTTTTTTGTGTACTATGATGAATCAGATTATATTGGTTTTGACATCATGTGATCATTGTTTTTTATATTTTCTTCACTGCAATGAACAAATTCGTAGTAATTTTTGAATTCTTGATATTTAATTAATTTAGTAAATCGACCTTTAAAATATAGAATTCAAAGTTTTGAAACATACCTAAATGTTAATTCTGACAAATAACCATGGATTTCCACTGTGGAAATTTTGCTAGATATATATTCTTATCTCTTTAATTTTGCTTGAGAAGACTCATAAACTCCAAAACAAACAAGGAAGTGGCTTATAGACAACCTTGTGTCCCTTTAGTTATTCTAAGATCCATGACTTGTTATCGAGTGAAGAAACGTTGCGGTCAATGGGGCTACGTGCTGCCGTCGGCTGTACCCTTGTCAAACTCACCGGGCAGGTGCCGAACGATTGAAGTTTGCTCTGCTTTTACTACAGTTGACTGCGTTTGATTCCTTCCGGTATTAAGTTAACTAACTATTAACTATACTAACGAAACGAGAAGTTATGGAAATAATATAGGTTTTGCGTAGTTTAACTATAATCTTATTATCTTGCTAATGTTATAAATCTGAATGTTTGTATGGATGGATCGGCGGATGTTTGTTAGAAGGTATCTTCAGAATGGCTGTATAGATCTCGTTAAAATTCGGCGTAGACGTAGAACATAGTCTGGATGACCACATAAGCTAGTAATTAAGTTTTTTTTTCTGCGGGCGAATTCGCTGGCGTCAGCTAGTAAGGGGTAAATTAGAAATTGCTTGCTTAACAGTCGTGTTGTTTCTAATGAAGCAGATCGATAACTTTTCTCTATTCTTATTTCTGTTCGATTGATTTTTTACCACTTTTACGTATTGTTTAGTTATGGTTTTTAAAGTTATTAGAAATTACACACTTAGCCGTGATTTTCTACTGTTGTTATGTTTCTACAAAGACAAAATCTTTTAATTCTCATTGAAAAAATTGAAGTATCGATATTTGTTTTATCGAGTATCGTTTGTTAATGAAAATTCATGGTAAATTTGAATTGGATAACGTTGCAGGACTTGCGTTAAATCAATAATTCTGCTGAACAGACTTCAAACAGACGTTAATCGATTGACACCCGTTTGAGTCGACATGGGTTTTGAGAAGGGTTTGTTTCCAAGCATTGCCATCAGCTAGTAAAAGTCGGGGTTTATTAATCAAATATTAACTATATGCCAATTTTCTTTTAAATATTCAATAGGACGTAATGAGTAATCGTATAATTGGCTAGGAATACTATATATGTTTCCTGCGCCTATTATTTTCTTTGAGCAATATTTGGCAACTAGCAATTTGGTAGGACTCTTTTGTTAGGCACTCTATTTGACGTATTCAATTATTGGAAGGACACGATTTGCTTTTGAGTAAAACTTTTGTTTTATGTTATACTTGCATTTTAGATGTGGAACTTAAAGAATATATGACATATTTATATTCGGAAGGCAATCACGACATTTTAAGAGAACTCTTATCTTTTGGAGTTTCGCCAAGAGGAAATCAGGAGGCACTGTCTTGAATAATCGAAATATAGAAATGTTGTTTGTTCATTGAATATGTAATGACCGTCTGGAATAATGCAGCGTGTTCTATTTTATCTCCAAAATACAAAAGGTTTATCGTACAATTCTTACGCCTGTTTTTGGAAAACATTGTTTACATAATAATGTAATATTACTAATATTATAAATGCGAATATTTGAATGGATGGATGGATGTTTGTAACAATGTATCTAAAGAAAGGCTGCAGGGATCTCCCTGAAAATTAGCATAGATGTAGAACATAGTATGGAAGAACACATAGACTACTATTTTTTTTTATTTTGCGAAGACGGAGTCGCGGGCGACAGTTAGTAAGATTATATTGACGACATAAGACATTTTATTCAGCATTTTTGATTGGTTCTTATCAAAAAGTAACCAGAAAATAAATCATTTAAGAGGTAAGAAATTCCCAAGCAAATAGAGCCTAAAACCTTTTAAATAAATGACGATAAATGTTGGTTTTTCTACAAAAACAGTAGTTATTCGAATTAAACGTTAAACAAATTTTAAATCAATTTATACAATACCGCTGTTAAATTGTTTCGGTCGTTTGTATTTCATCGACAGGTAATAGAATAACGAATAATTGCATGTTATACTGAATTGAAAATATAATCGTTGCTAATTAACGCATTCATAATTGTGTGCACGATCGTTGCTTGTCAGCACTTTGATGTTGATTGAACCGAACGAGATTCCATTGCTGTTTAATTGAACTAATTGGATTACATGTTTTTATAAATAAATATAAGATTCGTTCTGTAACAAAAAATGATTGTTTCAATCGTTTTTAACTATATTATTCCATATTTTATTCTAACCTAGTTGTCACCCGCGACTCCATCTACGTGAAATTAAAACAAATTTAGTGAAGCCTTTGTGTTCTTCTAGACTATGTTGTATATCTGTGCCAAATTTCATCGAGATCCGTGGAGCCGTTCTGGAGATACCTTCTCACAAACATACATACATACAACCAAACCATCGCGTTTATAACATTAGTAAGATAAGATAGTAGAATATCGATTTTAAAATAATAGAAGAATCGATTATGTTTATATTTCGCACGTTTTAAAATTCATCCTCATTTAAAGGCTTGTCGTCCGTTAGTAAAATAAGATATGGTCGAATGAATGAATAAATAATATTAAAAAAGCAGTCGAGTCTGATAGAAAAAAGGCTGTATTGGAATAAAAGTGGAGCGGCTCTGGACAAATATGGCTCCCGCTACACCGGCTTTCGGGTCGACGAGCTTTGTGCAGGATTGTACTTTTTTTAATGTCTATTTTCTTTTGTACGTTCCTGTTGATATAACTTTATTTCCAGTACAACGTTTAAAAGGTAATCGACGCATCACCGAGCTACGCTTGCTGTTCTAACTTTTTTATACTTTTTTTATTTTTTTTTTATATCAGAAGGCGGCAAACGAGCGAGCGGCCATCTAAAGTTGCTGCAAGAGCGAAGCTACTGTTGCACATAGACTTACGCAATTGTATATGCGTTGCCTACCTTTAATCAACGGTGGAGAGGATGCACAGAAAGAGATTTTTTTCCCTTCCAAAGCATCCTCCCATCCGGAAAAGCGACTTCCACTTCCCATCCGTTCCTTATAAGAAAAAGGGCGTGACGGATAAAATGACTAAGATTAGGCCTTCGGGACGCACACTCTCAGAGGAAACGCGGAACTGGTTCTACTTGACGCCTGTCTTCTGTGTGGTCGTGTTATTGCGGCGGGCGAACCGCACAATTCGTGTGAAGAGATTAAAGCGGGCTCTACCACTGTTAGTTCTACCCAAATTTAAAAATCATCGAAAGTTTAAAATTATCATCAGCCTGTACTTTTCCCTACGGACACGGATAATATTTTGTACATTATTTTATTGTCCACATATTTGTAGATAATTGGTCGTCATCTTCGAGAGCAGAAAGCGAGAAACAAAAACTCTGCCGTGTCACTGTTGGATTGTGCATTGCGTGGTGTGTCTGCGCTCCCGGCAGCCGCTATATCAGAGTTAGCCGGAGTGGGACTTCACGGACTGGTTATATCATCTGGAGACATTCGTAGAGTACAACAAGGAGCTTTTAATTCTATCGCCACAACATTACTGGCATTGGGTAAGCATAACGAGAATAAAAGTACCAGCAATATTAACTTATTACCTATGTCTTTATAAATTTGATTACTATGCGTTTTTGATTTGTAAAATAAAAGTTTAATTTCCAGGTTTGCCGAATAATCAACTGCCCTCAGTTCCAACTGAAGCATTAAATCATCTCACGCTGTTAGATCGATTGGATCTGTCCAATAACAAAATACATATGCTCGACTCTAACTCGTTCAAGGTAACTGTCGGCGAACAATATGTTTACGTTAATCTTTGATATTGTAAAATGCGCTTTAAACTAAGTGCATAAACTCTACTTGAATATAAAATTAATCAACAATTTTTTACTTATAATTTTTAAATCAGCTATAAGTGATATAAATCAGAAAAGTGGAAATAAGATCCGTAATATTACGTTTAAATAATTCATACCTTGCAAAGAAGTAATAAAGTTTTTATGTTTTTAGGGAATTAAAAACCTTACATATCTAGACATAAGTGACAATCAGTTAACGGATATATCGTTGGATGCATTCAAGCCGCTTTCAGAATTGACCGTTTTAAGGTTGAGAGGAAATCTACTTAAAGTTACTGCTCTGCCGTCTTTAAAGGTATTATTAGTTCAAATTATTTTAACTTTAACAACACTAAAACAACCAAATTATATATCCTTAAGTACTAAAAAGGTTTGGCATGTGAACTGTGACTTCTAAAGGCATAATCATTGTAATAAAAAACTACGAAGTAAAAAAAATCCTAAAACAGTTTTAAATTTTCTAGGATGTTTTATTTCATCCTCAATATTTACTAAAATGCTTTTATTTACAACAACTAAAATTATTTACATTGTATTATAATGTTCACTTTGTTTAACGTACTACAGAAATCTCTGGAGCAATTTAGATTTGAGTGTCCACAATCTAAACAGATGTAGAAAACATACTGTCATCTCTTTCATTCTCTTTGAAATAACAGAGATAGTAGTATACTTTAATGTAGATGTTTCGGTAGTGGAAACTAATAATATGTTTTTTCAGGACGCTCATTATTTGCGCGAGCTGGATGTATCCAGCAACGCGCTGGAAGGTCCCCTGGGTGCGGGCACTCTGCCGCCGCTGGCTCACCTCACTACACTGCATCTCTCAGACAATACCTTCGCAAGTATACGCCGAGGGGCATTAGCAGGTGAATTCAATTTAAATATATTGGTATAAATAACCTCAACGTCAAAACTCAGCAGTATTATTTCGAAATGCCAATTCCTCTTAACGTTTCAAAGGTAGAACTATAAAATTTATGTTTTCAAGCAAATATATATCAGGTTTTAGTATTCTTTTTACGTAAATAAAGGATTAGTGCTCATTTTTGGCTATTTGGCAAATGTTATATATGAAATTGTCGTGTCACTATGTCAGTTACCACATTCCAATTTCCGGAGGAACGGTTTGACCGATTTTTATGAAATTTTATATGCGCATTCAGTAGGTCTGAGAATCGGCTACTGTCTATTTTTTAATCCCGCGCGAACAGAGTCGCGTGCGTCAGCTAGTAATATGTAAAAGTAATGTATTTTTAAGGTTCATATATGTAAATATTTCCTTGTATGTAAGTTATAGATATCCTAGCTTTAAACGGTTTGAGAAAAACTATGTTTTGAAGTCATAGTATGTTTCAACTTATGTATTAAGTAAATAGTTATTTTTAAAGATTTATATGATATATAATTTGTAACAGTAAAAAAAATAACATTCTCAGGGCTCACAAATCTGACTCAATTGAACCTTCACAATAATCAGGTTGATGTATTGGAGGACTACGCGTTCAGACATCTCACCAATTTGACGCATTTAGATCTTTCCCATAATGAAATTGTAGCCGTCTCTGGTAAGAAATATTAAATGAAATATTGTTTGTTATTTATTTAAATGTAACCTTACCTTTAACAGAATTTACAAATTTCTTTTTACGGTATTAATTAATTATTTGTATTAAAATTCGTGTGTTGATACGAACCAATAATCAAATAAAAAGCAATACAAAGATGTAAGCACGAATGAAAATGTGAAACGATTTTTTGTTTATTTTCATATCCAAAGCATTTATTATTATGCCTTTGTATTTGATAAAAGTTATGTAATCCTTAAATTACCAAATATTAAATCTTAAGATCGAAGTATTAACTATTATTTTTTCACAGGCGCTTCGTTGGCTCAACTTACGAATTTAGTCCACTTGGACCTTTCGCACAACTTTTTACGATCACTTTCAGCGGAGCCATTGAAGGCTCTCAGGAAACTCACTGATTTACTTCTCCATGACAATGACATTGCTATGATAGATGACGGTGCTTTAACAATGCACAAGGATTTAAGTCGTTTTACTATTGAAGGTTAGTTTACAATATTGTTTCCTTTACGATGCCCAATGCTTTTGATTTTTAAAGCATCGACTACAACAATTTTATAAGTTTGTTTTAATATCCCGACCAAAATTTCAAGTAACTATAGAAATTACAGACGCAAGATAATCACCTATAACCCTAATCTAATTGAAATATCTATAGCTATGTTACACTAATTAGAGTGATAAATACCCTATCTATTGCAGATAATCCTCTCAATTGTGATTGCTTAATGGCCGGCTTTGCGAGGTGGTTGCGCGAAGCAAAAAACCTGTCCCAATCTGATAAATCTGCAGCGGTCTGCGCCACACCACCTCATTTAGAAGGAGCGCTGCTATCTAGACTATCGAAAAATAAACTATGTGATGATTTTGAACATATAGAAATAAAAAAAGATGATATTAATTATGATTATAATAAAATATATGATGAAGATGTTAATGTAAGAGGTAAGCTCAGTGTTGTTGATGAAACGCTTGTGGATGGAGATATTTATATTGATAAAGCTGAAGGTCTAGATGATGATTTATACGACGAAGAATTAGAAGTACCAGGAGAAGAGGACTTGCCGATATCTAAGACAAAAGTAAGTTCGTTTTTTTAGTAAATATATTTCTGACTTTGAATCTAGGTGATGGGTTTTAGTTGAAAACAAACAAAAGATATGATTGTTTTTCTTCTTTTCTCTTATTTTAATTTTATATTAAACTACATTAAATTTTAAATTTCGTAACACTAAATTATTATGTCCATTTATTCGTACCATTTCCTAAAAGCATTTTTGTCAAAAATATTCAAAACTGATGTGAAATATTTCTTATTGCTGCAGTTTTCCGCAAAATTACATCAAATCGGCTTGCTATTCAAATTCGTTTGGTTGGAAATACAATCTACTGAAACTCAATATACTATCTCGATTTACATACTTTCAGATTTTATTTTAAATTCAAAAATGTAAAAAGTAAAACAAAACTTACCAAAGAGTTCAAACAAATATGTTTGATCACAAACATACCAGGCGATCATGATTTTCAAAGAGTTCATATTACAGGTGAGGTTAGAAGACGCCTGGTACGATAAAGAAGAAGTACATCTATCGTGGTCGTTGGACCCACCATCAAATCGTCGGTTCCGTTGTACCGGGGTGACAGCGTCAAGAGGCGGCAGTCTGCCCAAACACGTGGCATGCCACAGAGCTCCGCCTGCTAATGTTGTACTACGAGGTTTTAAAATTGATCCCCTTGAACATTATACGTAAGTTGCTTAATGGTTTTTTTGGCTAAGAGGTAGCATTAATGGTAATGTGGCTGTACCAAAGTGGAATTTCAGGGCTTGTTGCAATAAAATAAATTAAAATAAAAGGCAAATAATAGTTCTTTAGAATTAAGTAATAAACTAATAATAAAGACGAAAAGTTTATTCTTCTACGATATTGAATTTTTAGTTTCGCTCGCTTAAGCTATGAGAGGTTATCCAAATTGTAATTGACAAAAATTGTTTTTAGATTTTGTATAGCATTAGAAGAAATGGACAATAAAGATATACCAATGGCCCTCGTATTAGGCTGCGGGTTACCCCAACTTGTTAGACAACGCGCTGAGTACATAACTGTCGCAAGTCTGCCTGTCACTACGCCACCCACAAGACCTACATTCAGGTAAGATCCGAATATATTATTAATTTGGAACTCTAATTCTAATGGCATAGAGCATAAAGTAGGTTTATGAACAATCAATGAGACAACTGTTGAAATAAACCTGAAACTAAAGCACCAATAGCCTAATGTATAAGAGTATGGATTTCCGATCACCGGGTCGGGGATTCGAACTCCATCATTCGATTATTGTCATAAACCATGTCCTAGCACAAGCAGTAGAGCTTAATGGAATGGTACAAGAAATATTAGTAAATTAACAAAGAATATGCCAATATAAAAAAAAACTTGGACATAAGAAAGATTCAGAAAAGACTAATAATATCTATGAGCCTCTTATTTTTTCAATATTGCTTTGGTTTTTGTTTCTCGATGTTCTCTTAAACAAACTCTTAAACTAGAACTAGAGTTTAGATATAATGTCAAATTTCTTTCTCAGGGTTTCAGAAGTACGTTCCAACGTGACGAGCGACGGAGTACTGACTGTGTTGATATCAGTGATGGGTTTACCTTCACCACGTTCACCTTTCGTATTACCACGTTCTCAAAGACTTTCTACACCTGATAGATATGCCATAGGCAATTGTTACGTCATCCTGGCAGTTCTATCAAAAGGATCATTAGTAGCTCAAAAAGATACACCATGTCAAAGTACTTTGGAAATATCAATGGAAGGTTTCCTTAGAGGACCTTATGAAGTCTGTGCGAAGATTTCTAAGAATAAACTGGATGAAATGCAACCGATTTGTGTTGTACCTCAATTACAAGAACCGTTAGGTTCTTTGGAAATCAAATCTGGAATAAAGGGATTGAATTCTGCTTTAGTTGGCGTAGCTTTAAGTTTAACGGTTATTGTTATTTGTTTGATATGGTTTGTAAGGAAGGTGTTGAAGAAACCAGCTAATTTTGAACCTCACAGATGCTTTAGGCCGGAACCTGTGGCGGAGGAGAATGTCAGAGCTAGTTATGTTATGTTAACGGCTACATCTAAAGTTTAAATTGTTTTTTGTTTTAAGTCATGCCATATAATATTAATTTGCTAGTCTTTTAGTTAGAATTATTATTTTATTTATGTAAAAGATATTAAGCATTATTGGCTTTTTTATTAAATAAATATTAATAAATTGTAAATACTTTTTAATATAATTTTGTACTTAAAATATATTATGTAAATGTTATATTATGTATATGTTTTAAATGAATGATTAAAACGAATTCTAGCTAATATTAAAAATACAAACAGAAGGAAAAACGAAATTTCGTTAGTTAAAATGCAAGAGGCAATGCTTCTTCGTAATTTCGTTGAGTTTCTTATCTTTAGTTTTCCTTAAGGATATATCTTTACTCCCATTTATCAGATGAATAATTATATACGTCTACGTCTGGTACGTGATTTTAATGCCTTAATTAAGTTATAAAATTTTGTCTAAAATTTAAAACTCAACAACACATTTTCCTGATTGTATTTTCATGCATCACGCTGAACTTAGGGTAGGCTCCGAGCTCCTCGGTGGAGACGTATAGTGAACTGATGATCCTATATATTTGACCTGACCTAATATATTTGAAGTTTTCTATGTATTATTTGTATTATCTTGTTGTATTTTTATCTATAAATAATATTTTAAGACAAAAATAGATTTGTTAATGTTAACTTGGTTTTCGTAGAAACTCATTACGAGATTATATATCTACGAGTGCGCGGAACATAATTTTAATTCATCACCTCTATGAACTTTGATAAGAAGTTTAAACATATTGAAATTATAAATAATCAAGTCATATCGTACTAAGTAACACGCTAAGTACGTTTTATTAAACTAAGTATTTTTAATAATAACTACAAAAAACGATTACTACCTAATTAACCATACGATACAAAACTACAATATTATTGCGTGGCATTAGTGCCCTTCTAAAGCATTTACTGTAGGTTTCCGAGACAACATCCCTGTTTAAAACATATTATTCTCTCTGATGTTGGATGACGATATGTTTTGTACATAGATTTTGGTCATAGAAACCCACTATTAATACACTTAAGACTTTTTGTTATGCTTTTCCAAGTATTTGTTGATAAGTCGTACATAAGTGAAGCTATCTATAGAATTTTAAACATGGCTCTTTTGCAACGGTTTTACTATTTCGTAAGGTTTTTAAATGTTTCCTTCTCAAAATATTGGCTATTTGTTTTTTTTTACTGATGTTATTTCTGTGTACAGTTTCTTGTATATTGTATTATAATTTCCTGTAAAAGTATAGTATATACATTTCTTTTATTTAATTAAAAAATAATGGCAGTCAGGTTTATATTTCTTCTAAATTTGCTTAAATCATATGTTTTGTTTTTAATTAATTGTTAAGAAAAAAGTTAAGGAAAATCATAATTTATTGTAATTTACTTTTTATGTTACTGTACAAACAATACATATTGCTATCTATTTTTTTGAAAGGAGATTGAAAGGGATGGCAATATGTTTTTGTAAGTGTGTCGGCAGTCGAAATAAATTGCATGGATAACTTTGGGTGTCAAATAGACAATCGTTCGAAATTCAAAATTACAATCAGCTGTATAAGGCGCAAGTTCGGCCCCACATGGAATACTGCTCGCATCTCTGGGCGGGAGCACCCCAGTACCAGCTTCTTCCATTTGACCGCATACAACGGAGAGCGATTCGAATCGTCAACGACCGAGCTCTTACTGATCGGCTCGACACTCTGGCGCTGCGGAGGTACGTTAGTTCCCTCTGCATTTTCTACCGCATCTACCACGGGGAGTGCTCCGAAGAATTGTTTGGAACGATTCCTTTCGCCGAGTTCCGTCATCGGACGACACAACAGACCGCCAGGTTCCATCCACACCTTCTCTATGGCTGGCAATCCACAACCGTACGGTTTGCGCGAAACTTCCTGCCTCGCACAGCAGCGTTGTGGAATGGTCTGTCCTCGGCGGTATTTTCAAACCGCTACGACTTAGGGTCCTTCAAGAAGCGAGCTTATCACCATCTCAAAGGCAACGCATCTGCGGTTTCTCCAGTATTGCTGATGTCCATGGGCTTCGTTGAACACCTCGGTGTTCTCGCTACTCGTTTGTCCCCTTCTGTAATAAAAAAAAGTACGCTAATTTTAGTTATAAGCATTTTTAACCGATTGCAAATAAGGAGGTTATCATTCTGTATGATTTAAAATGTTTTATAGAAGCAGTGTGTTATGTTATTTATAAAATAGTGGACTATTTTTGATACGGTTTATTTGATACATTTAAAACTACTAATGCAATAATTGAAATTAATAATGGTGATAGTCAGAAAATATAAAAAACTTAGTGTTTCAATTACATTAACATAAATACATGTTAATACTTTTATCGCACGTGTAAATAAGAGATAACCAGAAACAATCGTAATAGAAATTATTGCATGCGCTTCCGAAATACTACAATCTTTGACAGATAGTTAAAAAAGTAACTTATACTGGAATGGTTTTTGGTGACAATATGTAAGAGTTAAACATACTATTTTACTACATCGATGCAATATTCACCGGCGGTCAAAGGGTTAAAACACGTGTTTAAAACAGTGTCCCACTGTGTTTTTTCGGAGTAACATAGTTAATATTTTTGTAATGTTTTAGACTAACAAAAATCTTCTGTGAAGATTTCTATTTAAGTTGATTAATATAATAACACGAGGCTGACTAGCGAAAAAAAAATTGCTAATGACAAAGTCATAGCGAGTTAGTTTTATTTGCGTTTTGTTAATACTAAGGTAAATAAGCAAATTATTTAATGAGTAATTACTGTATTGAGGTCGTCAAATATCTTGGCCGCTCGGAACATCGTACGAGTCGTTGAATATAACACAATATTAAGTTTATGTTCGTTCCGTTCAGACAGACCAAATCAAAGAACAGAACACATTTTTTACCGCAACTAAAATTGAGCTTTATACTATTTGAACAAGGTTTAATTTTACTTTGCACGTCTTTTTTATCAAGAGCAAGCGGGGAAAGGCGTGATAAGTAATATTAATCCTTGTGTCAATTGCATAAAGCTCAATTTAATTTATGATAAAATGTATTCTGCTCTTCGCCCTGGTTTTTGGGAACGAACCCTTAAGCGTACACGGATGCCGGCATCACTGCGCAGTGCGCCAAGATATTTGAAAAGGCGTATACTCTGAAGATATTTTTCGCCGTCTCTGTATATGATTCGAAGAACTTTGGTTCTGCTTTAATTAGTCGATAAATAATGTAAATAATTAATTTATGATTTTTGACAAATAAAGATTAACTTTTTATTAAATCGTTTTATTTGAATTTTTTACTCTAAAGTATTTTAAACGCCCAATAGTTTTATAGTAGTAGGGTACGGATTACCTATCTTGCGGGGACGCCGTTTTAGCCCCCTATTTGAATATTTTAAACCCATATCCCAGCACGTTCCCAGTAAGGAAAGCTTAGTTGGAATGATTACAAAAAATATTACGAACAAAATTCTGTTAATATTTATAAAATGCCTTCAAGGATTTGGATGGATAACATTTGAGTACTCAAACTAAAAGGTACTAAGCAACATCAGGTAAGGAAAAATTTTTCATTACATTTATCGCGTAAAAACCTAATAGCACATGATATAATCTAGTAAATTCATAGTCTTTAAAATATAAATGTAATAGAAATAAAGTAGTACCGAAAATTAAAACAAAAAGGTAATATAACCTCATTAAAAGTCTGGTATACGATGCTGGGATTTTCCCTATCAGAATTGCGCACGCGCCTCAACAAAACAAACGTTAATAATTGTCAGTCATAAACACACCGCGATGGCGAGTGGACGTGTCGCAGTTGTTATATTAATAGCATTATCACTTACGATCGTCGAATGCAAAGTGTTTACAAGATGCCAATTAACCCGCGAACTCTTAAAGAATGGATTCTCAAGGACATTTATTAGTAATTGTGAGTTATTATTCTTTAATATATAAAAACAAATATGCTTTTATCACTAGTATATAGACAGATTACATTTTATTTACATAATCACGTTTAATCTACATTTATTGTTTACAATGGCGCAAACAAGTTTGTTGGTTATTCTTTAACTTAAAATTAATTGCGTTAATTTACGAACAATATTTATTTACCTGTTAGCATTTTATTTAACTATAACTTATCAACATGATTGATAGTAAAGTTAACTTAACATGCTTTAACATGTATAAATCAACACAATTAGTTGTTGTTTATTGCCACTTGTAAATATTGTCATGTATCCAGATAAATTAAAGATGAGAAACCAATATTTGACATTAAATTTGCAATATTCTTAGGAACCTAACCGTGAGTTTCTGAGACCGAAATATCTGTAAAAATCAAAACTCAGTTGACGATATGTTTTAAAGGGAGACTTAGGTTTCAAGGTAAGTAAATTAAAACAGTTGATAAGTAAATAGATTATAGATTTGAACCAATGATCTTATGTTTCATAATATTCTAAAAAAGGCTATGATTTTTAATTGAATTTAAACCCACAATACGTGAACGACTCCTGTTACCGGTTCCTGGGTTAATTTTTCAAGATAATTTAATGTCCAATATTTATCAGATTAATCCTAGAGTGTTTTAATAATCTGAAGAACTAAGATACAATCACCCATGAGTTTCGATTTTATATTAACCATTACTTATTCGAAATAACTCCGCCTATGTTAAATTCTATCAACAATTTACTTACACTGTGTAAAATTGCAACACATTGCGTATTGTTTGTCTAGCCATTGTGTTATAATTCCAGTTGGAAATGCCACTACATGTGCGTAGGTGACCTGACATTTCAATCAACCCGAACAAGGTCACATTATACAAAATACAGTATATTTTATTCCAATTATATATTTGATTAGATAACGAATTTAAATAATTATAAAGTTGAGTTATAAACTTAATTCTGAAAGGTAAAATTCACCGATAAAACGACGGAGGAGGGGACGCATAGAAAAAGAATGTTTCCCCTCAATGACGGAGGAGGAGAGCTCCTCCGTCAAATCAACTTCCCCTTCCTTATAAGAAAAGGATTGGAAGAGAAAGAAGACTAAAATTAGGCCTCCGGCAGAACACTCGTCAGATGAAACGTGGAATTGCTTTCTCTTCACGCCTGTCTTTTCACCAGTCAAGTCGGCCAAATCCTGTAAAAAATGTTTTGCTGGCTTCTACCACTGTTTGTTTAGAAAATGTTAACGGAATTAAAATATTTACATATAAAATCTTATCTCTTGAGACAGAAAGTTAAAATATTTGACTTTAAATATACGTCAAATCGCTTATAATTATTTTTACGTGCTAGACACTGGAAATGCGTCATACTGTGTTCGTCCACTATCTATACATAATAATAAAATTTGAGAGTCTGTATATAAGTTTTGTCTGTTCTATTTTTTTCTTAATTAATATTTCGATAAAATTTTTCTTCTATTTATTTCAGGGGTATGTTTGATTGAACAGGAAAGCGATAGAAACACATCGGCTTTTCATGCGAAGACGCCGAGAAGAAAGTACTATGGACTCTTCCAGGTGAGAAAGCGGTGGATTAAGAGTGCATTTCCACTGTGAATTTTTTTTTAAATATGTCGTACTAACTCTCTTTCAAATAACAAAATATAAAGTTATATTTTACTAGATGTGTGACGGTAATGAAATTTTATAATTAAGTCGGCGTAATATTTTTTCATTTTGTTGATATAAAATTATCAATTATTTCAGATAGGAAGCGAATATTGCAAGGAAGGTCGGAAAGGTGGCAAGTGCGACATAGCTTGCGAAGGTGAGTTCTCAAATGTCATGATATACATAAAATATATTATATTAACATGCATAAATATAAATAAGAATACATGATAATTGTCGGTTTCTGAAACCAAATGCTTCGCTTAGAACATATTGTTACCTCTTTTTTGTCAAATTTGATGTTTTATAAAGAAATTTTGGTCTCGGAAACCTACGATAAATGATAAAACTTATTAAACATTAATTATTTCAACAAGCCATAAAAAATTGTCAATAGACAAAACAAAATATAGAATAATAGGTTACAAAAGACTCTAACCGTGGGTTTCTGAGAAATGAAAGAGATGACGATGTGTTTTATACAGAGATTTAGATCTCAGAAATCAACGGTAAACTATCTTAACTACATATGAATGTTTATTAATTTATTTTATTTATCTTTGTAATATTATTTGTGTACAGCTCTACTGGATGAAGACATCCGTGATGATGGTGTGTGCGCATTGAAAGTGTTCGAACAAGAGGGATTCAAATATTGGTCGCGTTGGGAGGCGCGGTGTAAAGGACAATTGTTGCCTGATATCGAAAAGTAAGTATAATATAATAAATAAGTGGAAATTAATTATTCTATACTATACTAAGACAATTTTTAAGAAACCTTTTATCCTGGGCTTCTAATACTAAAATCCTCGTTTACAATATAATGTTATCTGTTTTGTCTCTCTGATTTGTTCTATATAAAGGTGTCGGTCTCAGAAACTAACGGTTACGATACAAAATAGATTAAATCTTAATACAGAACTTTATAACGTTGATCTCGTTGTTACGAACATAAGAGTACATTGATAAATTTAATTATTTTTTCATTGCATTATTTGATAAACTTATTTCAAAAACAATTATTAAGGACCAAGAACTGTGATAAAAGATTTTGGATTGAAAACAACGCCATCTATTTTCAAATTAGAAGAGTTAAATTAGCCAGAACTTTGATACTTCAGTTTTATTTTTATTTTTACTTTATTAAGAGAAAATAATCACTAAAAAACATGTCTTGTCATTATCTTTGACAAAACAGAGTTAATAATATATTTAAAAGAGGAATTAGGTCTCAGAAACCCACGGTAATTGATGCTTTTTTCTTACCTTTCTTTAGATGTCCAGATTGGCAGTACCCATCTAATCGCTCGTCACCACCGAGAGATAAACGTACCTCACCCTCAAGAGGTCGAAGGTCAGCTTTGAGAAAGCGCTTCACTCTACATTTGCGACCAAAGCATAGTACAGTATTGTCTTTATAAATTGTTATTACAAGTAATTATAATTAAAATAATAAATTATTAGCTTACTTTCATTCCATTGTTCCGTGTTTTAATTTATTCTAGTTTATTCTTAACTAGCTGTCGCCCGTGACTCTGTCTTAACTTAAAAAACTTAATTAGTAGCCTATGTGTTCATCCAGACTATGTTCTACATCTATGCCAAATTTCAGCGAGATCCATACAACCGTTCTTGAGATACCTTCAAACAAACATCCATACAAACATTCGCATTTATAATATTAGTAAGATATGTATTGAAAAAAACAAAGGGAATATCGTATTAATTGAAATATTTTGTCGCCTAAATGGTTTGATTTATGTCTATGCTCAAAGACTGCAACCATATTCTTGCTCGGATTAAAGCTATTCATAATTATAGAGTTAGGACAAATACTTTTGACAACTTTGTTTGTATTAATGCCTATTTATTAACGATGTTTTTATGATATCGTGTTTAATAATTCACCATTTAGATTGTAATTAAGTGGTCATTAAGTTTTATAGAAATTAAACGTAAACAAGTTTTGAGAACGAGGTGAAATAATCTTTTGTTTCGATTAGTAGAACTGTTATATTGTTATGTAGTTGTATTAATTTGTAATGTTGTCTGTCTGTCTGTTTCTTATGAAAACGCTGGACAGATTTTAACAAGGCTTTAACTTGAAGGTAGTTTACATGTCCTTGGGTAACATAGGCTATTTTTTCTACGCTGACGAAGTCGCGTGCAAACTCTATTATTAAATTGAATTAAACATTACTCTACCATAGTTTAGTTGCTATCCATAATTATGACCTTTCTTATCTACAGACTATAAATAATTGTCTTATCATAATTTCTACAAATGTTCCACAGCAATCGCAAGTTTTATTACAAATCCTATTAAGATAATGAAATTAATTATCTAGGCAATATATTTATTACCTTATTTTTACGTTAGACACACACACAATCCTACATAACACTCATATTAACCGTGGGTTTCTGACATCAAAATCTCTGTATGAAAAATATCGTTATCTCTATTTTTCATCACGGACAATACAGAGATGACAATGTTTTAATTGGAAATTTTGGTATCAGAACCCTACGGTAAGACGAATTCTAAAGATTCAGTTAATAAAAGACACTTCTCTTATTAACCACTGTTAATGTTATAATTTCAAAGAAACATACAAACAAATCTATTACCGCTGCCTCCACAATATAATAACAAATATATTTGATTACATGTAATTGAACGTAAGAAATTACGAGAGATTTCTTTGGCAAAGTCTTATATGAGTTTCCTGTGGGCCATATTATATTGGTTTGTCGTTTAGATACTTTATGACTTTAATCAAGACATTCCTTTCCCCCCTACTGCCAAATTACATTCTACATGAGGCATATCACTTTAAGAATATTTTCTATGATCATAATTTATCATTAGTGATATAATATAATAAATATTCCCTGTACGTCGAATTCAATTTGAATGAAATAGATAAACTTAATTATAATATTTGTAGTGTGACAAACTTATCCGACATGAGGGGACAAACTGCGCTTCGAAACGATTCCATAGCTTCAAAAATATATAGAATTGACGCGCGACAATCACGTGTCATTCGTTCTATTCATTTTTGAAGTTCGCTTTGGAGCGAATGCACTTTGTGTAGCCCCGCTGACGGGAAAATGAGAAGGGTTAAGTATTCACCATCTCAAAGGCCGGCCAAGCATCTGCGATTCCTCTGGTATTGCTGTTGTCCATAGGCGTCGATGAACACCTCGGTGCTCCTACTCGTTTGCCCCCTTCTCTTATAAAAAAACCATCCTTTTCGGACTGTATAGTCAAACAAGGATATTTGGTCCGATGAGAGACGCTGCTTTCGTTGTTAGTTTTGTCTGAAAATATGTTAAAAAATTCATGGACATAGAAAATGGAATAAAAAAAACATGGTATGCCATATACAGTACGAAAAGGGACCTTCTTGACATTGACAGAGGGGCGCTAGTGAGCAATCATAATTTACGTCCACCGGGTGAGAAATCCTTGTCGGTCTGTCTTGTCATGTCTGTTATTAAGTCTTGTGTTTCATATTCTATGAATTAGTATATTTTGTAGACCTGCAAAAGGCTGAATTTCATTACTTGCCAAAAAATTATTCCAAATTTTTGAAATTAAATAAAATTACGTATTTATGTGAAAACCTGTTGAGGTAAAAGAACTATGTATTGTAATAATATTTTATTTTTTATTATTGATTAAAAAAGTTTACATTTTGAGTTTGATTAACGCTTTTTACGAATTATGCCATTCTGGACACCTGGAAAAAATAACCAAAATAATGAAACATTGTACAAAACAGTAGGATCTACGAAAAGTCAATCCCTTTAGAAGATAAAGTGTAATTCAATTTTTATTTGAGACTATTTATATATAATAGATAACTGAAGAACTTACTTCTCAACGTCTGGTAGAGTCTGTCCTTTGCATCTTGTCTCCCATTTGGACCAATATTTAAAACCTTCCTGGTCAAAAACTTTAAGTGCACACAAGCTATCATCTTTAATGTTTTCGTCTAGGAGAGCTGCAAGTTAAAGATAGATTAAGACAATAAAAATTGTGTTAAGAAGGAGAAAACAGTTTTTTCTTCAACTATACAAATAAAAAAATAAAAAGGCGTGTCTGTTTGTAAAATCGAAAAAATCATATTTCGTGAACATAACGTTCGTTGATTGCTTCTGAAGTAAGATTAAAACAAAAAAATGTCTGTCCATATGTCCGTTTGTAAGGCTGCGTTCGTACTGGATAATCTACGAAACGGTTGGGCCGATTTTGATGGGACTTGGACTGGAAAGTAGCTGATGTTTGCTGGAGTAACTTAGACTATTACATGTTCTCCGCGCCGACAAAGTCGCGGGCGACAGTTAGCTGTATAAATAAGTACTTAGTGATAACTGACTTAAATAATATAAGAACAAAAGACGACTAAAACTAATCTATAGCAATTTTTAAAAGGATTAATATTGGCCGACATTCATTATGATTATAAGTTAGACACACCTTCACAAGTAATGTCACACTTTCCACCTTTGCGACCTTCTTTGCAAAATTCGCTTCCGATCTGAAATTTAAAAAAAAACAAATTAATATACTTTTATCATAATAAAGACATTTCGTAGTATTTTCGAATATTGGTTTTACTAAATATTTCTAATGTGACTCAAGAGAAACCAAGTCGAAGAACATAGGAAGGTGTGGAGTGGTGTATCTAATTAAAATATTTTAACATACTTGGAAGAGTCCATAATATTTCTTCCTTGAAGATTTAGTAACAATAGCTGCGGTGTTTCTATCGCTTTCATGTTCAATCATGCACACCCCTGAAATATCACCAAATATATTAAATCTTAGCATTGACTGAGTACACCCTTAGTGTAGATTTCTCAAACCAAAGACATAATATGTGTATGTTTTAGACCAGTCATTATGAAACGAAACGTTTCTTTGACTGGCCTAGAAGTGCTTATGGCTATTTAGTGATAGATCGCTATTTGTATTTTATTATGTAATTAAAATATTTGAAGCTCATAATGTTCGCTCTATAACTAAAATTTTAATTTCTTTAACCCACAATAAAGGACGGTATACTAAACACTTACTGCTAGATATAAGTCTTCGAATTGACACTTTGGCTGACCCTAAGTGTAAGTAAAGCTTGAGCAATCACTAAGGATATTTATAAGGAACCAAACGACTCCGAGTCTTAGTATCAACTAGTAAGGTAATGTCATCAATTTATAAATTTACCGTGAACATTAACCCTTAATTCGATGGTGTCCTAATTAACTAATAAAAAAAAAACTCCTGAACTAGCTTAGAGAAAATTACGTAAGTATGACTTTACTAAAAGAAAACAGTCTTTTTTTACTACAAAAAGAATCGTCGAATTAAGGGTTAAAGGGCTTCACCAAGTTTGAAAAATATTTAATAAATATTGTATAAAATTTATACAATTGAAATTTTATTTCAATGATTTATTTGAATCATAACAAGACTTACAGTTGCTTATAAAAGTTCTTGGGAAGTTATTCCTTAGAAGTTCTCTTGTCAATTGGCACCTTGTAAACACTTTGCATTCTGTAATCGCGAATATTATTACAATAATTAATAAAAATCCAATACGTTTGTTCTCCATCTTGCTTTATTTCAACTGACCTATCTCGCGATATCAATCACATTCGTTAAGGGGTTTTCCAAGTAACTTGATATAAATAGAGCTGGGATTCGTCTGAAGCCACATTTGTGTCAACATATTGTCATCCCTTACATTCTCTTTGTAAAAAAAAGAGATAGCATATGCTAATACATGTGACAAACCAATCGAGACTAAAGTGATTACTTGACATTGAATTTCATTTCCTGTCCCTTTTATTTATTTCAAGGTTAGCAATTCTGAAGTGGATATGCAGTCTGACAAACATGTGCCGATGAGGATACTAGCGGCAATTTTTTTGAATATACTAGTTGTCGTATGCAATTTCGTCCGCACTTAATTAAAAAACATAATAATTATTCGCCTATGTGTTTTTCTAGACTATGTTATACATCTGCCGTTCTGGAGATATCTTCTAACATCCATCCATCCAAACATTCCCATTTATAATATTAGTAAAATTAGTAAGTTTTCTTCTGAACAAAGAGACGGAAGAAGATATAGTAAAACAGATTATGTATGGATTGATGTATAAATACATATAGGATAAAATTATCCATCGCATTGGCAATAAAGTAGACAGAATGGGTATTTACATTTTATTTGAAGATTCAAGGAAGATTAACATTTATTTGAATACCAAATACCTTTAAATTTGTGTGGCTTATAGATCAATAGGAGTCGTTTACGTTTGAAAGTAAATTTGAAAGAATGGAATCGAATAAAAAATTTGGGACAATTTTTTTTGTCAAATTTATTTTTCTTTTGTGGTAGGAAGTAGCAAACGGATTCAGTAAAATAATAAAACAACCGCTGCTGATTATTTATATATTTCCAATAAATTATCGATGCCTACCGTAATTGAATAGAGGAGGGGACAAATACAAAGATAATATTTCCCCTTCCTATACGTACCCTCTCCTGTAAACTCCAATTGCTATTTTGGCAAAACCGTTCGTCAAATTAAATAATATAGAAAATCAATATTCTTATAATTTGAATTTTCTATCCACGAAACAAAAAGTCACAGCAACTGTACAGGCGCGGCTGGTTGCAAATTTATTTAGTGACTTTGAAGGTCTATAGATTAACGCACTACTAAACTACGCAACTTTACTACGACATAGGAATCTGCGGTATTACGTTGTATACGTATTTTCCGAGCACCCTGTATGTGGTTACGTTATAACAGACATATCTTAATCATCTGTCAAAGTAATTAGTGCGCGCTGCGATCTGCAACTTACAGTTAATTTAATTAGTCACGTGTCATATGAGATGCACTAACTCCGAGATAATAAGAATAGACGTAAAATAATAATATAGCTTAGTTTTTGCATCCAAAATGTTCGAAATTCAAGTATTTTGTAATATATTAGGTGCGCAACTAAGTTCTCGCTGTTTGTCAGTAGATGGCTCTAGCAGTAAGAGCTGGTCGATTTTGACATATCCAAAACGTCATGAACCAAGCTTAGACATATGGCTTGATTCGTGGATAGCCTCAAAAGACGAACACTTCTGGCGTCAACGTATTCGAGCTCTACCAGAAAGATGGGAAAAAGTTGTGTCTAGCGATGGGCAATACTTTGAATGATTCATTTGTAACCATTTTTTAATAATAAAGTTATATTTTTATCGAAAAAAAGCGAGAACTTAGTTGCGCACCTAATAGCTATGATTATTGTAGATACAGTTACTTCCAAAAATCCCCTTAGACAGGAAAACATACGAATAATTTGCAAAAGGATTTGAATTTTTTTTTTAATATTATAATCTAATTTTCTATGCATATACCTAGTGTAAAGAAATAGTGTAACTAGTTTAATCAAATGTAGAAATCTATAGGAATATTGAAACTAATCAAAAACCACTATACTGACTTTCTAATTACATATTATTCTTTTTTATAGCAACTGATATTTTTTCATGAAAATAAAGGCCTTTTTTATTATTTTTTATGAATAAAATGATATAATGAACTACTTTTCAGATATAAAAATTCTCAGCTAACGGAATACAAAAGAATAATAATTATCCACGAGCTAAAATATCCGACGTTCACATTTCAATTTAAATATAGATATTTAACACACCGATAGCAGCCGTTTTAATTAATTAAGCCTGTTTAAAATAAAATCTCATTTTTCCCTCATTTCAAATCATTTTAATGAGGTCATTTTCACAATTTAATTATTATAACGAACAATTTGTTAATTTGCTTCGCTCCTTTAGACATTCAAATAAACAAAACAGTAATAAATTATTCACAAAACTTGAAGCTAACATCGTTTTCTTTTAGCTAGTTCGTATTTACCTTTTACAAATTATGTCGAGCATCGGTTTTTGTTAAGTTTCAGTTGGCTCGAGTTTCTGACGTACTCCAAGTTGGCTGTTCAAATAGTTAAGACTCCGTGGAGAATTCACTGATTACTTCGGCTGACTGTTTAGAGTTGAAACTCGTTTATGTTGTGGCAACAAGTCTAACTTGTTTCTTTCATTTTCAACTTTTTAATAGTATTTAATATAATTAATTTTATACTATTTAATTGTAAACACTATTAATTATTAACTTAGTTAATTTTTGTTTAATTAACATGTCAAGACTAGATATTATGCGGTTAGATTCAATGCGGCCACTTGCAAATCGTCCTGTTTACTAATAATGGAATAATGGAAAGGCAGAATTCACGTCCTCTTTCCATCCATTCCGCTAAGAAACAGCCAGATTTCTGTAGTTAAATATATATAAAAAAGTGTCATAAGCATTATGAGTAATAATAATCCGGTATTAAAGTTAAGACGAACTCCTTTCTATGCGGTAGGAAACTATTCGAAGAAGCAATGTAGAGCTGCGGGAACATTCTATAAACTTCACTAAAGGGTAACAAAACAAGCTCAAGATATATCCAACATAGTGGATAACAACTAACACCAACATATATTATGTTGTCCTTCCTGTTATTAATCGTACAAATATTATACACAAGAATGCTGGGATGTATGGACGTTTGTTAGAAAGTATCTCCAGGACGTCTCCATGGATCTGGCTGAAATTGATAATAGATGTTCCAGGCTTCTACATCTAAAGCCTGGAAGAACACATAGGCTACTGAACAAGGTTTTTTAAAATTCCGCGAAGACGGAATCGCGGGCGACAACTAGTTAAAGTATAACATTCCGTTCGCGCGAAATTGAAAAAAAAAACTTAATTAATAGCCTATGTGCCTTTCCAGGCTATGTTCTACATCTACGCCAAATTTCAGCAAGGTCCTTGCAGCCTTTCTGTAGATACCTTCAAATAAACACCCGTCCATCCATCCATCTAAGCATTCGCATTTATAATATATATAGTAAGATAGGATTCCAACCTTTATAGTTACTCGGTTTACGAACTGCCTGCAAGGAATGTCTAGAGATTTGTAAACAAATTTATCTACACGTTGTGATTGCAACATTTCTCATTGTTGGCTCGTGTCCAATAACCTACAGCTTTGCCATGCATTCTCTCTGCTAGCTTATTACAGCGGTGTTAAATGCTCAAACCACTTAAAACTATTCATAAATCTTGTTTTAATACTATATGATAGAAACGATTTAATTAATTATCTTTTTTCACTTTTTCAATTTAAGTGTAGTATAAGACAATGTAGGAAAAAGAGATGATCTTTGTGGATACAAACGGAAATCAATTCAAGCGACCTCAAAGTATCCATTGTACAAAGATAAACTTTGGTTTTGTGAATCCATTTTCCAATTAACCGTCTATTGCTCGCTGAATCTATAATTTGTTCTTTTATCTTTGACAAACAACTCTCAATTTAAAACATACTGATTGTATTTCTAATTGCTATTTTTTACTTTTATTAAAGGGTTTTGGTTAAAAGCTCATTAAAATGGATGACGAAACAAGAATTAACTTCTATAAATATACGTACTGTATGATTTGTGTTTCTTATATCTGCCCACAACTTTTGTATTATTATCATCTTCAGCTCACTATACGTCCCCACCGAGGGGCTCGGAGCCTACCCTAAGTTAAGGGTGATTAGGCCATAGTCAACCACGCTGGCCAAGTGCGGGTTGGTTGACTTCACATATATATTTGAATTACTTCTCAGATATGTGCAGGTTGCATCACGATGTTTTCCTTCACCGTAAGAACGTCGGATAAATGTACATATGTAAATCGGAAATCGAAAAACACATTAGTACATGGCGGGATTCGAACCCAGGACCTGCAGATTGCAAGTCAAGTGCTTGACCACTGAGCCACCGACGCTCTGTATTATTATGCCTACAATTTATTCCTCACCAAAATTATAAATGCTAACGTTTGGATGTATGGATGGATGGATGGATGTTTGTAAGAAGGTATCTCTAGAATATTTCGCTGCATGGATCTTGCTGAAATCGGCATAGATGTGGAACATAGTATAGAAGAACACATATGGTACTAATTAAGGTTTTTTTTAATTCCACACGGACGTAGTCGCGGATGACAGGTAATAGAATATACATTTTCATTGTTATGAACACGTAGTAGAGTTTGAGCACAGAGTAATGTGTTGAATTAGCTGCACAGAGTAATAAATGTAGAGTAATTTAATGTAATTGATTCCGACAGCGTTGTATCCAGTGCCAGCAAACTTTACTATCAATATATGCGATTATTATTTCTCATAGTTAGTAATGAAATTTCAATAGCAGTAAGGGGAAACTAGAAATTTAATTATATACATTATTCTTCTAATAGCATGAGTACAATTTAGTAACTTATTATTATTTGTTAATCTTACTAATATAAATGCGCAAGTTTGGATAGATGCATGGATTGATGGATGTTTCTTTGAAAGTATCTAAAGAACGGTTGAACAGATCTCGATGAAATTTGGCATACATATAGAACATAGTCTCGAAGAACACATAGACTATTAATTAGATTAAGCTCGGACGGAGTCGCGGGCGAGCGCTAGTTTATTTTAATACTAAATAGTTACTTTTGTAACG